AAAAATACTTGAATTACTTCTTCTGTTTGGTAGTGTTGGCATTTTGAGTATACAGATAGGCTTATTTTTCTTATTTGTTTTCAATTTTAAAATTCCCATTTTAAATCTTTGTTTGTTTACTTCTATTTTTTTTTTTTTTTGGCTGTGTAAAGCATTTGACTCAGAACTATATACAGAGGTATATTTTTCCGTATCCCTTTCACACTATTCCCACCTACTCCCTTTATAAATGTAGCTGTTTTCATTATTTTCTGGTTTCTTTTTTTAAAGATTTTTATTTTTTGAGAGAAAAAGAGAGAGTGGAGGTGGGAGGGAATGGGGAAAGCAGACTCCCTGCTGATCAGGGAGCCTGATGTGGGGCTCAGTTCCAGAACCCTGGGATCATGAACTGAGCAGAAGGCTGACACTTAACTGACTGAGCCACACAGGTGCCCCTGGTTATTTTCTTTATGAAAAAAAAATTTAAAAGTATTCTCTTCCCTTTTTTCCAGAACTGTTAAGTTACTATATATACTTTTTTTTTTTTTTTTTTTTTTTAGCTAGTTTACCTAGAAATCATTTCATATCAGGTCATAGATTTTTTCCCCCCCATGGGTTTATAAAACTCCTCTGTGTAGATATACTGTAATTTTGTTAACCTGTTTTAAATGGATGTGTATTTGACTTGCTTCTGATTTTGCTATTTCAGATAATGCTAATATAAGGAATCTTGTGCACGTGATGTTTGAATTTTGGAGCTGTATTTTTTTGGATCATTCCTAAAAGTGGGGATGGTTGGGTCAGAGAGTAAAATATATGTTATTACAATAGCCACATTCCTCTTCTTAGGGGTTGTCTGTTTTTTGCATAACCATCAGCAGTGTTTCAAATGCCTATTTATGAGAATTACTTCATTAATATCAAATATTGTAAACTTCTACATGATGAATTATTTCTTTAGCAAGTGGTATATTATATCATCAGGGTGCCTATGGGAAACAGCTGACATACGCAAAGTAGGATAATTTAAGGAAGGTTTATTTACAGAAACTAATTACAGAGGTGTGTGCAAGATACTGGAGAATCACCAAGGTTGGTGTTAACAGGATCCAGCATCAGTAAGTCTGTTTTCACTCCTAAGCATGAAGGGACCAGGGGAAGGAAGGGTTATAGGAACCTGGAAGAGTGATTGCTACATAGGAGACTGCCTTTGTTCCAAAGACATAGTGAGCCCTTTAAGAAGAGTCCACAGGTAAGACACCAGGAAAATACATAACTCTTCCTTCCTCTGACTTCCTGCTGGAGTCCAGTTAAAGGGTACAGGAGTGCCTTGATGTATTTCATCTAGGTCAGTTTTCCTAGGGCAGAGAGTAGTATGGAGAAGTGTGGAGAGAAATCTGAAGGGGACAGCAGAAGTTATCCAGTACATGTATGCACATACAGATTCATGGACCTTTGAAATAACTGTGTAAACCAGAGGTTTAGAACCTCTGTCTTAATCTTTTCTCCTAGTAAGGCTACTGCATGCCAGCAGTGTGTGGCTTATTTGTGTTTTATATGAATGCTACTTTCCACTCTGAGATTACTCTTAAAAAGAAAAAAATTCATGAGTTCTTATTCTCAATTTCAGTATTTGTCAACAGTGCTTCTCAATGCACTTTTAAAATACAGGGCCAAAAGTCTATCAGATTTCACTCTAAATAGCTTCATAGCTGTCTTTTCCCCCTTAAGAGACTAATATCTGAAGTAATTTTAGCTACTTCACACTCCATCCTGTTGCCAATATCTATTGGGAAGAAACAGTGTAAGCAGTGTCTGTTAACCTCTTTCTTCTGATCACTCTTATCTATTAATTTTATTATTTTATGAGACCATTTCATTACAAGCATTGTATTTAAAGTTGGGCATTGTCTGTATGATTTTAAAAAAAAAGGCTTTATGGCCCCAGTTACTACTGAATGGGAGTTAATAACAAGCCTTCTCAGTGATTCAGAACCACTGTATAGTTACGGCATCTTTGTATTTTTGAGTATGTTTTTTTAACCAATTGGATTCTATTGCATAATCCAAATGTTTTAAATTTTGGTAGATTGCTAAGTGATTTACCTTCTAATTTCACCTTTCATCAATGTTAGCAATAGTTTCTTGGTAAGTGCCATATGTTTCCTCTTATTTAATATATCTCCTCTCTAATATCAGGTAAGCCCATTTTTATTTTAGTTTTAAAATTTAATATCCATCTCACTACTTTTTAGGATTTATTATCATGGATCACATTTTCAGAGTGAAGCTGTAGGACTTATCCCACTTTTCCCTAATTTTATAGTTAGAGCAAAGTAGTTCTTAGGCAACCTAATTAACTTTATTAACTTAATATAAAATTTACTCTATTATTATTTCATTTTTCCTCTTAAGAGTCTGTTTGAGGGGCACCTGGGTGGCTCAGTGGGTTAAGCCTCTACCTTTGGCTCAGGTCGTGATCTCCGCATCCTGGGATCGAGCCCCGCATCGGGCTTTCTGCTCAGTGGGGAGCCTGCTTCCTCCTCTCTCTCTGCCTGCCTCTTTGCCTGCTTGTGATCTCTCTGTCAAATAAATAAATAAAATCTTTAAAAAAAAAAAAAAGTCTGTTTGAATTAATAGTTTCAGTTATAAAGTGTTTTTATTTTTAAATGGCACTTCTTATTTTTTGAGTTCTGAGAGTTAACTAATTTTTAAAGTACAACAGTTATAACTAAACCAAATTTCTTATTCCTCCCTCTGGATGAGAGAAGTTATTTTTCCATATTACCTGAATGATTTAATGAGAAGACTTAAGATGTTACTGAGAATTTCTTTTGTCAGTGAATATGACATTAACATGTCTCTTCATTAAAATCTCCAGTGGTCTTCTCATCATTTTGAATATTATAACCATTCTATAATAATGAAGATATGGAAGGTAATAGACTGGGTTCAAAATTTATTCATTAATTTCCTCAGATAAGCCTTCTGTTTACTGTCTTCTTTGGTAGGCCCAATGGATTCAAACATGATTAGCACAGTCATTGCCCACAGACATATAAACAAATGTAGTGTAATAAGGGAAAAAATATAAACAATATAGTGTGGTAAACATTTTAATCAGTGTATGCCTAGGGAAGGTGAGTGACACAAAGCATAGGTAACATTTCGTGGGAGGGTGCCAAGGAAGACTTGTTAGAGGAGGAGATATAGTAAATGTTTAATAGATGAATGAACACTAATAAGTAATATAACACAAATAAAAGATATAGTCCTGTGCTATAGACTATAAAATTCTATTATTTGAAGATCAGTTAGCAAGAAACTTAATTGAAAATGCAACTAATGTTAAGAGGCGATAGAGCATATGTGGATTGCCAAGTGAATAATACAGCAACTAGCATTTATCGAAATACTCTGCAACACAGATTACATGTCTGATTGCATATAATCCTCACTAACTCTCTTAGATAGGTATTAAGTCCATTTTACAGATAAAGACATTGAGACTTACTGAAGCATAATAACTTCCCGGTCATACAGCTAAAATGGTGGAGCCAGCTTCCAAATTCAGGCAGATAAACTTCAGAAAAAGTGCTCTCAATGCCATATATTAAAAAAAAAAAAAAAAAGAAAAAAAAAAGAACATTAAGACCCATGGGAACCAAGAAGAGAAAGAAAATCTTGCCTCTTGAGAGCATTTGGAGAAGAGTTACTAATTAGATAGATGATGGATATCATGAAGAATATTCCAGGCATGGGTGTTGACATAAGTGTTCCCTGGCACTTGTTTACTTGAAGAACAAACCAATATTATTGACTGGTCAGATCATGTAGGAGTATCAGGGAAGATCAGGCTGGAAACTGAGGATGGGATGGGAGCCATCTGTCATGGATCCTGAAAATGAATCTAAGTAATCTGTACTTCATCTAGGAGAGAGCCATTGAGGTTATGGGAGCAGAAGAGTAATTAATACAGAAGTCAGTTTAACATAATGATTAAATTCTTGACTCCGTCATTTTCCAACTTTGTGATGTTGAGTACATAAGTTTACTATTCTTAGCCTCCTTTTCCTTATCTGTAAAATGAGGATGGTAATAATATCTGCAGAGGTTAACTTGTAAAGCCTGACATATACCAAGTATTGAGCAATGTTATATGTTATTATTACTGATTTGTTTCAGTAAATTTAATCTGAGAACAGTGCATAGTAGTCTAGGCCTATACCTTAGGCCATTAGTTGAGAAATTCTTGAAACACAGTTGTAACAGGTAAATGGAAAGGAAAGGACAGATTCGTAGGAATATTTTAGGTGAATAATATTAACTATTTATGGAGCTTTTAAAAAAATCTATATAGTTCTTTATATTATTTCATAGTATTCATGTGCTTATTATTGTATCAATAATCAATAGCTGACAACTGAATGTAACTGTAATTTACAAAGCACTTTGACATGTTAATGGATTTTATTCTCAGAATCATTCTATAAGATATTATTTCCAGGCCAAGAGAGGTTAAGTAAGTCATTGAAGATCACGAAAGTTAATGAAAGTATCAGTTTACTACTTGAATTTCCATATACCTATTCTAGTGCTTTCTCTTTCATGTCGTATTATATTATGGCAAGAACTGATAAAACAGTATGAAACAGTATGAAAAACTATTATTAGTACTTTGAAAGAGTTAATATCTTTTCTTAGGTATCTATATTAATACCAAGAAAAAAATCAAAGCATGAAAGGAGACAGATAAAATCAGAGTTTACTAGTTATCTAATTTATATGTAAACCCAGTCGTATTATCTGAATATAATCTCTATTCAGTAGATCAAAGTATTAAGCGGTTTTAATTTGCCATTTAAAATATTGTTAGGACAAATGAAAATAAGCTCTTGCTTTTCTGCACCAAACTGCATTAGGCATTTACTACATTCTGGGTGATTGTAAATATTTTACAGTTGAGTTGTTTCGTGTTTTAAATAGTATTGATTATGAAACTTTTTGAAATTTACCATCAGGCCAGTGGTGGCAGAGTCTGCATAGAACTATGCTTCGTGGTGTTCTGGGAAAAACCTTTCGACTTATTGGCTATACTATTCAGTATGGCTGTATAGCTCATTGTGCTTTTGAATACGTTGGTGGTGTTGTCATGGTAAGTTTTTACATAAAAGAAAATAATAATTTTAAGTATGTACTTTTTTTAATTGAAGGAAAATGTATTTTTCCTTTATTTTAATTGAAGTAATTTAATGACTAAATTGTGACTATTGAAACATAAAATCTTTCTAAATTTTGGGATATAAGAAACTATGTTGGAATCAGCACTGGTATAAAATTAAGAACCATTACTGCAGATTCGGTTCTGTATTATGTTTTATTCTGACAGGGGCCCTATTAAATAATAATCTAATAATAATAGTTTTTTACCATTTATTGAATTCTACTTTCTGTGTTCCAGTGATGTTTTATGTTTTATATTTATTAATTCATTTAATCTTTTCTACTCTGTGAGTTACTTATTAGAAATCCATTATACATAGGAGGAAACTGAGGCTCAGAAAGCTTAAGTAACTTGTTCCAAGTTCCACAGTTAGTAAATAGATTCGGAGTTTCAACACAGATCCTCCCAATTTTCAAAACTCCTGCTCTTAGCTAGTTGTGTTTAACTGTCATTAAAACAAATAATTATTCTGCCTGGTGTCAATATTAAAATGTTAAGGCTGTCCCCCCGCCGACCAATGCTTTTTCTAAATATTGCATCATAAATCTGTCAACTTTGTACTAATCTTTTGTCATGTAAGTGAAAGAATAAATTGAATGTCTAGTGAGTGGGTTTTGTAGGTTTTTATCTGGTGTTTACCCTAAAGGATTCACAGTCATACAACCTCAAATTTAGCTGGAGAAATGCAAATAAATATATTTAACTGAAAGTCTCCTCTTTGATTTTTTAAATTTACATTAGTACTTCCAGTGGGCTACAGAGGTAGCAGATACAAACTTTCATTGTGTTCTTTGTTATTTCTGCCTTAGTAGGATATTTTTGAGTAAAAAGTTTTTTATCAATGCCCAAGTGAAATCAGTGGAGACTGCTATATTTAGATATTTTAAGTGGTGATCATTTATTACAGTTTTGAGGTATATATGAAGATCATTGTTTTAACACATACTAATAGGAAGTCTTTAAAATGCATCTCATTATGCCACTATTTTTCAATAGAAAAAATAAATTGCAGCCCCATCAAATGAGTAAGCTATTCTGTTGGAAGAGAACTCAAGGCACGAACTTATTGAGAATAGTACGATACTACTTAGTAAATTACCATCATGGGCAGTGGGTATTTGATAATAGCAAGAAGATAAATAAGTCATTCATTTATTTATTCAAATATTTATTATCAGCTTTATGCCAAGCACTGTTTTTGTCATTGGTTATGTAACTGGGAACATGAGTGTTAAGGTCCCTGACCTCATGGAGCTTACATTATACAGGGTAGTCAAAATTTGGAAACATAGATATTTTATTCATGTATTGTATTCTCGGTAAACTATTTTTAATATATTTTCTGTGTTTCCAGATTATGTGGCCACTCTGTAGGGTTGAATGTATAAACTTATAAACTTATAAATCACCTCCAAATTTGAAGAACATTTGTTTGATTTTTTTTTCTTAAAAGCCTGCTCATTGATTTATGTTACATTGAAAAAGGGTTTCAATTCAAATTAAAAAAATTACCTCTCTTTTCAGTGTTCTGGACCATCAATGGAACCTACAATTCAAAATTCAGATATTGTCTTTGCAGAAAATCTTAGTCGACATTTTTATGGTATCCAAAGGTAAATTTCTGTCATAGATATATTAAAGCTATAGTGAAGTCATGTATACACATTGTATCTTTTTTGTAGCTTATCTGTAAAAACTCTTTTGTAAATAATCAAATTAATGACCAGCTAGTTAAAATTTTGATTCACATATTTTCTCTCAGTTGAAGAAATTTTAATAGTTTCCGTAAACATGCTCAGTCATTGTTGGCTAAAATAGAATAGCAGTCCCTTTTATAATGTACATTCAAGCCTACTTTACTTTTGGTGGGGGGTGGGTAGCTCTACAGCATTTTGAGTGAAGAACCTAGGGACTTAGGAACATTATATACCAAACCAGTGATTGGCTTCTAAATTTTTTTTTAATTTAAAATGATTATTTTTAGTCGATAGAGCCATATAGAGCTGGGACCCAGGAATCTTATCTAATCTCAGTCTCCTGATTAATTAAGTTGAAAAACTTCTTGACAAATACTGTTTGCCACTAAGTTTTTAAAAATCCTATTCTAAATGGTGTTTCCAGTCCCTGTGATACTGTTTATTCTACTTACATATGTATTATTTCTTCTGAACGAATGTCAAGTATTAGTAATTTAATGTATTTTCTAAAGGGCACCTCTCTAATTCCCTAAAATTTTGGGTTCATTAGTTTTTCATAATTCTGAAAAAAATAATACCACTTTTTCATTTCCATAAACTTCAAATTTGACTCACTAGAGTTGGTATTTAGCTTATGGCTTAAGTAGGTTTAAGCACTCCTCTTTCATTATTTGCCTCTTCTGTAGTCTGTTTCACATTACCTAAAAGTCATCAAGAATGGTGTAAAACTGTTCTTTGCATTTTTGATTCTGTAGATAGAAGTTATCTCTTGGTCAAGCTGTATAGTCTAGCATCGTCCTACGTAAAATTCTTCAGATATTTTACTCATAGCAACTTCAGGACACCTAATTGATAGTTATGGGGTTATAAAATAAGACTTACATAACAGGTTGTGTTCTAGCTTTCTTTCCTTTTTAACTTATATCCAAATCACATCATACAGTCTTTGGATTAACTGGAGACCTAGCATCACTGTAGCATGAAGATAAGCTGCTGTTTTCCATGCTGATGACATGGTTTTACTCTCATACTCCTTAAGCATTCTTAACAAGGAGCTGAACTTGTTGGCTAAATAGATTTTGAATGAATAGCTCAATATCATCTTTTTTTTCAATAGATAATCTTTGCACTCAGATGGATAATATGAGTAACTGCATTCAGTAACTTAATTAAGATTCTTAGAAGGTTTCATTTTGTATTTTGTTTAGTCAAGAGGCCCTTAGGTTGAGGGATAGCTTAAAATCTTGCATTTATATGACATATACCAAATAATTTTTACAATCAAGGTTGTCAGTTGGTAAGTTCAACTTTAAAAATACTACTGTTCTGAGTATTCTTTTTCTTTTGTCTGTAGCATAGAACTCTGAGATTTCAGGGGAATCTCTGACCTTTGGCAAGAGATCTGTTAGCTAGCTGCTTATTTCTAAAGCTAGAATAGGGGCTTCTGGGTGGCTCAGTGGGTTAAAGCCTCTGCCTTCGGCTCAGGTCATGATCCTAGGGCTCTGGAATCGAGCCCCACATAGGGCTCTCTGCTTGGCGGGGAGCCTGCTTCCTCCTCTCTCTCTCTCTCTCTCTGCCTGCCTCTCTGCCTACTTGTGATCTCTGTCAAATAAATAAATAAAATCTTAAAAAAAAATAAGTTAGAATAGCCATCCATTTAGGCAAAAATGAAAGTCTGCATAACTGGTACCTAAAGCTCTTGGATCTCTTCAGTTAAATGCACACAACACTCATATTTAAAACAATCAGAGTCTCTTATTACTACTATTACTACTTATTCTTTCACCAAATAATGAGCACCTAATTTATAAGAGAAGATGTGCAGTACAGAGAATGTTAAGATGAATAAAATATTGACCCTTTTCAAAAGCTTACGATTTAGTTGGATAATAAGCATGTTTATAACTATAAATGAGAGGAATATTTAAATCTTTGTTCTATTAAGTTCATTTTAAAAGCCTATTTGAAGGAGTTGAGAAACCAAGGAATAATTATTTCGATCTAAGTTCTATGCATATGTCTAGTTATACCACCAGAAGTATAGTCTGCATAAATATTGTTTTCCGTAAAACTCCTTAACTGAGGGGCACCTGGCTGGCTCAGTCAGTAGAGCATGTGACTCTTAATCTTAGGGTTGTGAGTTCAAGCCTCACATTGGGTGTGGAGCCTATTAAAAAGTTAAAATTAAATTAAAAAAAAATTTTTTTTTAAATAATTAAAACATCTAAGAACCATGAGAGACTGTGGAATCTGAGGACCTAACTTGAGGGTTTTGGAGGGGAGTGGGGTGGAGGTTGGGTGAGCTTGGTGGTGGGTATTGTGGAGGGCATGTATTGCATGGAGCACTGGGTGTGGTGCATAAACAATGAATTCTGAACACTGAAATTAAATAAATAAAAATTTAAAAAAAAATTAGAAAACCACCTTGACTGAATTATGCTTTTTATGTTGCCATGTAAGTTCAGAATTTGTTTTAGGGATCATGTTGATTATTTTGTTGAAAAATGTAAGCTGAATAAAACACCCACAGAAAACATTTCTTTCCCCAAAGCTAGCCAAAATCAGCTTTGTTTAGTATGATCTTTGCAAACTTATTCATCTGAAGGTTTCATTGGCATGGTTCCATTTGGTTGAAAAGAGACTAGTTTATCCCATTTCAAAAAAAGGACAGCCTTGTATTACCTGCAAATACAGAATTTAGTGTTTATTTTATTTTATTTTATTTTAAAAGATTTTATTTATTTATTTGACAGATAGAGATCACAAGTAGGCAGAGGCAGGCAGGGAGAGAGGAAGGGAAGCAGGCTCCCTGCTGAGCAGAGAGCCCGATGCGGGACTCGATCCCAGGACCCTGGGAGCATGACCTGAGCTGAAGGCAGAGGCTTTAACCCACTGAGCCGCCAGGCGCCCTAGAATTTAGTATTTTAATAGCTTTCAACTCTAACCACAAGAAATTATCATTCCAGTGAATACGAGTACTATAAAATTTCTTAGGAGTATGGGTGGTATCTTTTATTACCTTACATCAAAATCCTTCTTGTATATTCCTCTTTGATTTAGTTGTTTAAGATAATTGTTTTACCTCACAAACTAAACTTTGTTAATCATTCCTGTGTAATTAATCAGATTTTCATTTTTAGAATGAAAACAAAGTTTAGAACCAAGAAGCTTAGAATTCTTATTAATACTTATATGTAGTGATAACTAGGTTTCTGATTTGACTGTTATTTTCCTTTTATTTTTATGGCTTTTGATATTTTGGTATATTCACTTTTTATTATGAGTGACATCAAATTATTGTGGAACTATGTACACATAATATAGATAATTAAATCCTTTCAAATACGTGTGTTAGTCAACAGAATTCACTTACTACTCATTTTTTTTCAGGAAGAGTGTTGTGTTCTGTTTGGTTGGGGTGCTTAGTCCTATTTTGTCCTTCCTCCATTTTGTCTCCTTCATTTATACTTTTAAAGATCTTTCTTATTCTTCTAATACATGTATATTTTTATTTCTTCCATGAATCGTGCCTTCTACATGTAACATACCCACTGTGTTGGTATTATATATTTGATATACCAATTTATTTTTTGTAGTGTATGTTTGGGCATCTTTTAGCATTTTATTTGCTTGTGTCTTCTGATATTGTTCCTCAAAAATAAGTTTTTTTAACTATACTGTAAATTATTTGGGTATGCTTTATACATTCTTTGAGCTCTAGGGAAATATTTATGCTGTCCCTATGTTTTTATGTGCTCTAGAGGCAATCAGTACTAATGGCTGGACAGTAAAATTTACTTAATTTGTTGGTACTTACGTGGAATTGCTTTTCTATACTTTTGGTTTTAAAAATTTGGATACAGAAGTTACACATAGTGGATAAAGTATAAGAAGATGGTTGTTATGGTATTACCAGAAATTTTAAAATCTTCTAAGAGCTTTTCCACAACTCTTCGTGGATTTTGACCCATAAAACTCAGTCACAAAATTTCTCAAAGCTGGTAATATGAGAGGGTCAATATGTGAGAGGACAAAAGGTGTGGCTTTAAGTTATACAAATATTATAGCAGTGCTGTCTGTGTATTAATGTTTAATAAATAACATTGACCTTTCTTCTGACTTTTCTCCCCTCAGAGGTGACATTGTCATTGCAAAAAGCCCGACTGATCCAAAATCAAACATTTGTAAAAGAGTAATTGGCTTGGAAGGAGACAAAATCCTCACCAATAGTCCATCAGATTTCTTTAAAAGCCATAGTTATGTAAGTAACATTTTAATTGTTATTCATTGATTAACATTAACTGAACACACCGACAAAAGAAAATAACTTAATTCACATTTTGAATATAAATTAAAATGCTGCATTCAGTAGAATTTAAGTATGTTTGTATCCAGAACAATTTGGCCATTATATTTTATATATTTTAGTTTATTTTAAAACCCTTCTTAAACATACAATATAGGGGTGCCTGGGTAGCTCAGTGGGTTAAAGCCTCTGCCTTCAGCTCAGGTCATGATCCCAGGGTCCTGGGATTGAGCCCCGCATCAGGCTCTCTGCTCATCAGGGAGCCTGCTTCCTCCTCTCTCTCTATCTCTCTCTCTGCCTGCCTCTCTGCCTACTTGTGATCTCTGTCTGTCAAATAAATAAATAAAATCTTTAAAAAACAAAAAAGAAAAAGAAAAACATACAATATAAATATCTCAGTAATAATTGTTGTAGGCAAGATTCACCAACGGATGTCAAAATTTTGGGCGAAAGTTTGAGAGAAATAGTTTATGTGCACAGTCTCAAGGTATCTCTTTCAAGATATTTATTGCAAAGGGACAAATAGTAGTTGGTAGAGGAGAAACTGTCAGACACCACCTTAATTGAGTGATCAAGGTTAAGTTCACCAGTAAAAAGACATATCAACATAATATAACCCCTGAAGTGAAGCACTAAGAAAGGTGCGTATCACTTTTGTGATATTTTTGCAAAAGTAAGTGTAACCTCAGTCTAATCATGAGAAAATATCAGATAAACCCTAAGTGTCATTCTGCAATATAACTGACTAAACTCTTCAAAAATGTCAAGGTCATGAAAAACAAGGAAAGACAAGTGTCTTAGATTGGAAAAGACAAGAGACATGCCCCTAAATGCCAGCTGGGATCCTGGGTTAGAAAATTTTCCACTGACTCGTAACAGCAAATATGGTAAAATCAAAGTCTGCAGTTTAGTCTTTTTAAATCCTACTTAAATTTTTAGGATAGAAATTGTATATACCTTGCTCTAGTCAACTTTACTGTCCAGTTAGAAAAAGAGAGCAAGAATAGCAGAAAGGAAGAGTGAAGAGCAGATATAATTTTAGCTCCTCACCAGTCACGTGGCTGCTGTGACAGAGCTTACGGCAGCTGGGGGGCAGGGGGGTGTCCTTTTGTTTACTCAGCCTATACTTGTCTTACTTTAATAATTGTAACTTAATTTTTTACTTTTCTTTAAATTTTCTGTGTTACCCTCAAATTACTGATGCAGCTGTTAGATCTATTAACTAAATTTACCTCTGTTTTTATCCCCAATTTAAGCAAATAATTAGGTTTAATTTCTTGATCATTGTGTATTTATTTTGAACTATGATAGCCTCTGATTGCCTTGTAAGTTTGATCAATGGATTACTAAATCTGTTATTTATGTACCATCCATAAGAGATTATGGTTCAGCAGTACAAATGTTTTTAATGTTTATTATCACAGTGCTAAACATATTAGTAATTGTTAGCTGATGGTGATAATATTGAAGGTGATAGTGTAGTATCGGGTAACCTATTTTTCTATGACCTTCATCATGGACATTGTATCCCTTTGTTCTTTAAAAATGTCGGAATTTTACATAATGGTTTCACCTTCATATGACTGTTAACATTTCATGAGACATTCTAGTCACTTTTAAGTTGTTTTAGCAACAAGCATATACTTGAGACCAGAAATAATTTTATCAATAGGTAGAACAAAACATGTAAATGAAGGCATCGACTATCTGTGTACTTAGGCACCACATAATTGTTATTTTCTCTTTAAGGGTTATTAGAGGAAGAATATCAGGGGATTAGATATTTGCTAAGTAATCTGAGAAGACAAAGGACTATAAGATGTAAATTTTTTGACTATTCTATTTAAGGAAAATATTCTTTGAATTTTTATGTTCAGTGAATGGATAAATTAGAGGACACTGCCATATTGTTCTAGGTATATTCCATTCACCTTGGTTTGCATGTTTGTAAATGACAGACATAATTGTAATATACTTTTGGTCAACACTTATTATATACTTCATCTGTATTAGATTCTGTTGAAACTCTTCACAAGGATTAATTTATTTTTAATCATCCCAACAGCAACCCAATAACATACAGGTAGTGGTAGTATTTGCCAGATGAGAAAACTGGACAATGGGGAGGTTAAACAGATTCAAACAGTGAAAAAAAGGTTGGAATTCAGACACAAATACCCTGGCTCCATCCAGAATTTGTACTCCTTACCATGCTAATACTGCTTGTCCAAAATATCCCCTACTGATTATTATTATTTGTACTCCCATCTCATCAAAATGTGCTTCCCTAAAAATTTTTTGTCTTCATTATTCTTTAAAAAGAAAGGGAACTATTTCTGATCAGGGATAGTATTGGTCCTAAAAGAGAAGCCAGTGATTTTTTGAAAGCTTCCCTGCCTCCACCAGTTTTTCTAGGCTGGGTTTTTTGAGCAGTAAGAATTGTGTAGTTATTACAGAACCACTTTAGCAAATGTGTTCCATTAATCAAGGTGATTTATAACAAAAATTCATCCAAGTTTGGAGCACTCTGAAGAGAAATCCAAGCCTTTGCAGGGTCTCCTCCTCTAGAGGGTTCCCTTTTTCAGTTATCTTTGAAGCACACTGGTGCTGTATTTTATGAAAGGGGTTCTTTCCCTTACCGATGTATCTTAGAAAAATCATTAGTGTTTATGATGAAGACATTACTATTCAGATCTTGATTGAGCTGTTTGGTAAAGATGATGAACGTTAAGTGTGTTTTGAATTTCAGGTCCCCTCCCCCCACCCCTTCACCCCCTAAAAATGTTCTCCTAAGTAGGTGCTTCAGAAAGCAAAGCAACAAAATCGTCATTTGGAACCTAGAATTTAGAGTTTAGCATATGAAAGAAATAGCATTGTTCCTAAGTTGGTGAAAAAGAATATAAACAGATCGTTGATTAAGTGATGTGGAACCATTTTATTCATTCTGGAGTTGTAAAAGTCCATGTGGCGGCAATACTTACAAACCATGATTTATTTTTTACATTAAGCATTTGGAAACTAAGCAATCCCTATCAGGTGCTATTGCAGTGGGCTTTGCTCATTTCAATGATATTGAGGCCAGTAATTCTTGCCTTGGGTTATGGGCTAAGCATTGGCTACTAGGATATAAGCTTAATTTGTGACTTTGAAAAGAAATATACTCAGCTCAAACATCTTGAATAGCCTGCACAGTAGCAAGGTGTGCTATGAAAGCCTATATAAGGTAGTTTCCATTTTCCTAGGGATAGTAGAGCCAGGGCTCAGGTAATAGTGAAATTTTGTTATAAAGTTAATGAGAAGATGAAGAAAAACACTTTATAATTTTTCTGAAGGTAACATTGTGTGATAGTCCAGGGCTATGATTTTAATCTGTGGTGTAACCTATTCCTAATGTTTAGGCATTTTGCAGTGTAGTAAGTGTGCAATATAATAAGTTCTATCCGCAAACAAATATCCTATAAAATTTACCAATGAACAAACTCCTTTGACACCACAAACTCCTATAGGAAAGACTGGCATCTGTTTACTCACTTTGCCTGAACTTTGGATTTTTTTCTTGAGCTCATTCCTGTTAGGTTTGGGTCCCCCACCACTTCATTGAAACAGTTCTTGTCAGGGGTCCCCACTGTTATTTATCCAGTGGTCAACTTCAGGCCTCATTTTACTTGACCTGTTGTTAGTATTTGAAATATTTGTTCTCAAAACCTGGTTTCACTTAGTTTGGGGGACAGCACATTTTCTAGTTTTTTTCCCTGTCTTTCTGTTTCTTCTGAGATTCCTTTGTTGGTTCCTCTAAACTTTGGAGTAACTTAGGGTTCATATTTTTAAACTTCATCTCTTGTCCATATACACTCACACATTCATCCTGTCTCATGGTTTTAAATATTACCTAACTTAACTTCCAAATTTATATCAACTACAACCTCATTCCTGAACTCCAGAATCATAAATCTAATAGCCTACTATCCACCGTAGTACACAATGGGCACTTCAAACTTGATGTGTCCAAAACCAGACTCCTAATCATCTTTCCCAGACTGGCTCATCCTACACATATCCCCATCGCAGGAATGGCGACTCCATTCTTCTGCTTGCTCTGCTTCTAAAACTTGGGAGTCCTCCTTGACTCTTTTTCTCTTTCACTGCGCATCCAGTCCATTAGCAAGTGATGGTGGCTGTGTCTTTTAAATATAATCAGAATTAGACCACTTCTTGCTATCATCTCTGTTACCTTTGGGGTGCAAGACAAATTCGTATCTTGTTTTCCTGCAGTAGCTTATGAACTGCTGTCTCTGTTTGTACCACTCCCACGTTCTTGTATTTTTCTTTTAAGAATTATATATATGTGTGAATAACAACATCATTGTTGTTTTGGCAGAGATCTAAGCAATAGAAGCAGTTTTACATTTCAGAAAGAACTGATAAAATGTTCTCAGGATATATTAGTGGTATAGTGTTTTTAAAAGAAGTTGTAAATGGGGCAGTATGCCAGTGATAAAGGTGTTTGACAGTAAATTGGAAAATATTTTTGAAAAACTGATCAGCAAACTGAAAAACTCACTAATGGGACAGCATTAGAAAATGGTAAGTCTATATAGTTAACACTAATAGCCCCTTAATGTGTACTGTGTATTTAGGTTATAGTTCAAATCCTTGAATATCCTAATGCTGTTTTTCTGTTTGTTTAAATGTCATTTACTTTAGCTAAAAGTCACAACCATATGGTGTTCTATTACCACTTGTATTATAAACACAGAAAGTACTCATGTGTAGGGAAAGGAGTCATCAGATTGAAAGGGCTTGTTTATTATAAGCTGCTGATACACTAAATCCTTATGTCATTTAAATAGAAGAACTACCTAATAATGTCACTCATTACAACTAGGATATCTAAACAAGGGACTTGCTTTTTGCAGACTATAGTGATAAAAACCTGTGCTACACATTCATTTCTC